GCAAGCCGACAAGCGATAGATACGCTCGCAACCCACCTTCAATCTGCGCAGGGGATTTTTTATCATTCTGATATTGCATCGTTGCCGATATACGTGCCTTCGGGAAATGAAACTACTGAATGGGCAGCAATGGACCAACCCCCAGAGCTGAAAGATCCGATCAGGCTGGTCTTGAAAACCGCGATCGAGCTAGGCGATTTGAAGACTGAAGCTCTTGCTCGACAGGAACTTATCAGGCTTTCTAATAACCCACGGGACGAGTTTGACATGCTTTGCGACTTGCAATTGACTCGTCAAGGAAACTTGAATGGCTATAGCTTAAGCCTCGCCTCTAAATATCTGGTGTCGAATACAAAGGCGACAAAGGAAGAGCTAGCAATTTTGATCTCGCGGCTCTTGTCTAAAGTTGCATCTACCGACTATTGGGACTCCTCCCACGAGTGGATTCTTAATATGTTGCTCTATAAACTGGAAGGGATACCCCCCTCAACGATCAAACATATGCTGGAGAGAAGCCATACCGACTACCGGAACATGGAGGAATCACTTCTCAGGGAGATATCGAGGAAAATGCCTATACTGAAAGATTGGGTAGACCAACAATCTGGGAATTCCACTCAAGCCAAGTTTAAAGATACTGTCTTGCGGGCTAGCTCGGGCTCCCGCAAGAGTAATAAACCTGCCACAAGACGAACAAAGAGCTCATCAGCTGCACGGACGATAGAACGACCATCTATCCGAAGACGGCACAGTCCTATAGGTGATAGGAAAGAGGAGCGAGGCATTCCCTTAGCGACTGGTTTGAAGCCCGAGGATAACCCACAAGATCACAGGTCCCTACCGGAAGGCGGACCTCCGTATATCCGTCCGCCTAATAACGGGCTACAGAATACCGTAGACCAACCGAGAAATAATCAGGAAACACCTACAATCACAATCTCAAGACCTAACGACAACCCTCAGAGCCTCGACACCCCGCTACAGAGAGAAGAGCTCGTGGCTGTGGATCTTCCAGTAGATACAAGACGCCAGGACGAGGTTCACCTTGCAGCTCAGATAAGAAAGAAGCTAGAGGCTGAGTATGACAAAAGACTTGAAGCTGAGAAGAACTCTGAGCAAGAGCGGCGAAAGGAGAGGATGGCAATGCTCGAGGGGCTTAAGAGAGGTATGATTCCGTGCCCTTTAACGATTTTTTTTTTTAGAAGTGATGTTTGCATATTAATGTAGTATGCAGAGGTGGAAGCAATTAGAAGAGAAGCTGTGGAACAGGCCGAGAAGAAGGCTCGAGTGGAAGCTCAAGAACGGGCTGAGCAATTAAGATGGGAGAGGCTCCTTAAAGAGAACAAATTGGAGAAAGAAATGGCAATGGTGAAAGCCGAGGCCGCTTCAGCTGAACTGGATGCGAAGTTCGAGGCTGCAAGGGAGATGGCCATCAGGGACGCCGAGAGAAGGATGCAAGAGGAGTTTGAAATGCGGAAGATGGTAAACCCCCTCTCTCCCACCCCGATAGGGAGCTTTTTCATGCGTCTACATGATAGGCAAATTCAGCTGCTGACTATTTCACAAGAGAGAGATCGAGGCACGAAAGAAGGCCGAATATGAGGCTCATGAGAGGATGGAGGCCGAGAAAAGGGCTTACGAAGAAGCCAAGGCTGCCGAAATGCTAAGAAAGGAACTACAGCGAAAAGCCGAGACCGAGATGCGCGAGAAGCAGGAGGCTGAGGCGAGAGCGCGTGAGGCCGCCACGAAACAAGCAGAAGAGGAGAGAACGCTCCAATGGGCGGCCGAGAGAGCTGAGAGAGATGTGGAAAATCAGAATCAGATCCATCTCAAGGATGCTCTAGGGCGTAAATTCGCGATTCCATTCGGCCAGGGACGTACCTGGGAAGTAAGTCAGATCCATCATTAACTGATTAAAAGTGTAAATGACTGATGCTAGCACAGGGTATGCGAGAACTTGTTGAATCAGCATTTGCTCATATCGACGTCCTCGGGCCGTAAGTTATTTTCGGAATTATATCCTAGTTTTGGCCGCTACAAGAGGAAAAATGGTCCTTTATAGCGAGGAGTCATATCCCAGAAAGCTTTCATACCCCCGAAAGATACATAGATGACACTTAAAGTGGCAGTAACTGACATCGAGTGTCACAGGGAGGTTCAGGAGGGCCACTACGATCTGCTCGGCCCAGATGGAAGCATCATCCTACCACAGGCCTGGGAGCAGATCATCCAACCCGGTTGGAACATCACAATGCACATGTGGCCAATAGCGCCGCCACCTGAACTATCGGAGCCGCCGGGAGTGCATCCTCCAATACCGGCACCGGGTGGTCTTTTCCCACCTCCCGCGCCTCCGGGTCAGGGTGTTGCGAACGAAGAGGTAGTGGTCGATGAGCCGAACTCGGTGGGGGAGAGAGACGACGACATATCATCAGGCTACGGCTCGAGCATCGGCTCTTGGAAACCGTCGCGCACGAGGAGGATAGCGAATGCGTTCTCAGCGCTGAAATCGACTATCTTCCGCAGACGCCGCCGCACCTCGCTTGGTACCGCTTCGACTGCTTCATCTTCACTCAGAGATGTAGTCGATTAATCTGCTTACACCCCGAAAACGTCGCGCTTACATATATAGATATCGTTGCTATGGTTTCTATCTAGCTCGTATCCTTACAACTTCAAAAATACAGCTGAAGCCTCTAACAATTAAGTGAATCCTTGTAAAATATATCCCCCTATAATGTCTTCATTCCGAATCTAGTCTCTCATTAGAGTCTGATTCCTCATCAATTCTAGAGTGTGAAGGTAATTTTAAAAAGAGGGACAAGCAAAACATCAAAACGCATAAACCAGATATGCCAAAGTAAGGCAATCCGATCCAAATACCGCCAAGTCGCATACCAAGCGAGAATAACGCCGCAAGTGACGGCGAAACCCATAAGTCACTTGCGATAGCCGAAAGACCCAGGACGGTGAATAGTCGCGTCCGCCGCTCCGCGGTGACATGAAGCGTGGCTATCCTTTTGAGATAGCCCTCACTGGACACGCCGAAGGCGAGAATGACAAGACCAAATTTAAATCCAGGCAGGGATCCGGACAAGCCGAGGATGAACGTTCCCGTCATCGATACTAGATATGACGCCCGGGCCAGGAACAAGTCGCGTCTTTTGTCGTCATCGAAGCGAAGGAAAGCCGGTGCGCTGGGCTTCACAATTGCCGACGTGACCCATGGCATGAGGATGAAGGAAATAATGATGAAGGCGACGCCGTAGGTAGATTGGATGTAGCCTGTGTCCGCGATTGGGATGTGATAGCGCTTGGAAGTGAACTGGCTGAGGAACTGGAGAGTACTTAGTATGAGCGAGAGCTGGAGCATAGTTATGAGCAGAATTATGATCATTGACAGGGAGGCGAAGATTCCGACGGAGTTCTTTAGTTCACGAAGGCTTTCTGCGAGACCTGCCCTAAATGTGCTGCCGCCCGGCGTATCGTCATTGTCACTTTGAGGGTCGTGTTTCAGGCTCTCCGGTACAAGGAAGACAGAGAATGCCGAAAGCACGCTCAATAGGAAAGCTACGAAAATCGACGGCCAAGGACCTGTTGCAGCCATGAGCATGGAGGCCAGGGCCGGTGCGACCAGATTGCCAACCATGCTCGCGCCGTGGATTCGCATGAAACTAACGGATCTGATTCGCCAGTCATTGATGATACCCCTTGAACCGTGGCACGAGAAGACTCACCTTTGTGACTCTGGCACTACATCTGTTACCATACTAGTGACAGTGGCAGCAAGAACAGGATTGCCACCACCGAGTAGATAGAATATCGGTGATAGCCAGATGAGCCGCGGAGAAAACGTCTGAGGGAACCATCCAACAACTATAATACAGAGTATCGACAGGGACGCGCCAATTAAACCTAGTGCAAATACTGGACGTCGGCCAATCCTAGACGAAGTCAGCACAGAGGGCCATGTTGCAACTAGACGTAATATCCGAAAAGAAATGAACGCATTTAGACTAACTTGTCGGCCGCGATACCCCAGGGCAGTGCGGCCAGCACGCTCACGCCGGCGTTAAGCGAAGACATGATGGCCATGAGGTACGCGAGCTGGGACTGGATGGCGTCAACCTTGCACAGGTCTTCATCGATGGGCTCGTCATCGCTGTGGATCTGGTCGTAGTACCGGCGACACAAGATGTTTTCGAAAATCCGGGTCATGGCCATGTTCTGGAAACCACCCGCCCCAGATCCGACAAGAATGACAACACATAGGATGAAGACGATGGTGCCTGGCTTCTGAGCCTTCGGCACCCCACGAGCCAGCCAGGCAAGTCGAGACGCCCTTCCGCGACGTCCCGGCGCGTTAGCATGAGTTTCATCGCTCGTGGCCCGCGCTTCCGGGATCAAGGGCGTTTGCTCGGTGATGTCCGCGATTCCATCGTCGCTGAAGCGCTCGTCGGCGGGCGACGGCGCGGCCATTGTCGTGGGGGTCGTCTAGCGAGTGAGGGTAGAATGACGAATAATGTAATATCTATGGACTCCTTCCCCTGCTGTGTATTTAGTTACAATGAGTGGACGTCCGTGAGGACATGCCTTTTTACAGTGGCAGACTCCTATTATATATTGAGATCTAAGTTGTAGATCGGTCGTTGACTCGTTGGTGCTGTGCAAAAGGCGCTGGGTCCCTTCTATTTACCCTAGCGGGAACTTCGTAAGCACCAATGCCCAGCGTACCTATAGGCTATCTCGGAATAACGCCAAGACCTACCTACTGAAGGCAGATAGATAGACTGTACATCGGAGTTGGTATCCCGAAAAGGTTACGCATCGTCTTGCGTAATATCACTGGTTACGCGCCACGTCAAAAATCAAGATAATGCAGAAAAATGAGTAGGGCATTAGATGATAACATCTTTCTTATTTCGCTGTTACAGTTAGTTGTGTTAGGATGCAAAAAGTTGGGTTGCTACTCCTAGTATCCTAGGAGGCATCAGGAATTGAGCCCGATGCGGGGGTCGAACCTATTGCTGGAATTAGTACCAGTGAAGCGTTTTATGTTGTGAAGGAGATGTGTTACTCACCCGCAACCTTGAGATTAAGAGTCTCACGCTCTACCGATTGAGCTAACCGGGCAGCCAGTATTGGAAGCATGTGGATTCTAAAACGCTCTATGTCTCACCACCACCTATTACCTAATCTAGTGGGGTGGTAGGGTGAGGAAGTATTCCGAACTCCGGGTCTCGTCTAAATACCTAGGTACAACGCCATAGGCGTAGTTAGCGGGGCAGAGGTAACTCCGCTGAATTCGGCCGGCCGCGTCGCCTTTAACCAATAATGAGCTAGATATGGACTCAACACACCATGTGAGAGCGCAGTAATACTATACGCAATAATGGTGAGTAATGGTCAACAGCGGCGGCCTGACTTCATTTCACCATGAAGGTGAGGAACCAACAGCAGTGCCTAACCTCTGCTAAGATAAGTCCGCGTAATGGCTTCCGCGTCCTCGCTGCGGTGAATATGGCTCGGCAACGACAAGGCATGGTGACCGGCTGAACGACCGGCCCTTTCGTCGTTGTTAATGTCCATTGCGCAATGTTCTATAGCATGAATATTACGACTCTATATCGCGCTGCGCGATATGTTGCTTAGACTACAAGTCAGCGTCAGAGCTCTTAGGCACGAGTTCGGCACTTGATATTGACACAGTTACATTCCGGACTGGTCGCCAAACTCTAGATGTACGGTTAAACGTCGACGAGGAGTTATCCAGCTTCCAACATCCCGAATATGGGGTAACTGTGGTATTCCGTAACATTCCCATGGGAGGTTTCTGTGTCCATAATGCGGATCGAGGTCATTATTATTATTCTGCATCGCCAAAATTGAGGACTTCTCATTTCCCCGCGGAGGACCAGGGTTATCGCCCTAGGCAAATAGCTCAGACTACGTTGCGTCGAAGACTAGCCCAGTTCTACTGTTAGGACCTTTATCAATGTAACATCTAACGACATGCTTCCGGTGTCGCATGTCATCATGATAGTCAGCTATAGGTCAGCATGCTTAGATTTCTGCTACCCCTAGTCTATACAGAAACCCAAACTTCAGCCTCTTCGACCAAACACTCAGCCTTGGATTGGTTAAAAAAGCTTTGAAGCTTCTTGCTAAAGGATACCTAAGTTGCATCACATTGTGTGGTTACTCTGTAGGCGTCTTATTAGTTGAAATTTTGCACTTCGTGTGTCTAGTTGAACCGCTGCCCGTAGCACTCTCGCTCATATCGAGAATAGCAATGCATACATTCACCAAAGAATATAATGCCCCGTAAACGAATTTCAACTTTGTGACCATTAAGTTTGATTATCACTTTTCGGACGATGCAGAAGCAAAGCTGCAATGTATGCACTAATCCCCCATTACCCCTATCTCAAATGTTGCTAGCCATTACAAAATAATTGTATGAAGCCACCACTTTCCATCCAATCAGTAGCCAACAATAAAATTATATAGAGGATTATAACGGAAGAACTCCTGTGGGGCTGATATCTCAGGTTCCAGCCCTCGAATAGACCATTGAGGAGAACTACAAGCTTAATAGAATACCTCATTAATCATTTGAATGGCGATCCTAGCAATACTAATGCCACCTTCATCTACCCCACACGCAATACTTTGAGGATACACGCCAATAACCATGCTACCATGTATTGATATCAATACGTTGGCAACTATCTGCATGACCCTTCGGGCGTGTACGGCGGGGAGACTTGCTACTTATCTTTGGCACCTATACCATATCAGGTGGACAACGAATTACAGCAGTGAGTCGCTGAAAATAATGTAAGACTACATACTTGCTTGCCTTATAGACCTAGAATATGCGTTAACTGATGGTGGGTGGCCACTAAGGGGCTGCCCAAAGAATGATGAGACAACATGGTGCACTTTGGTGTTGGGGAAAACATTATTAGATGATAAGTGATATTGAAGCTGATGACTCTGTCCATTGAAATCATTAGTGTACGTAATCATAAGTTCTATTGAGTTCAATGGCGCATATATAGGGATATGGCTCACAATAGTGCTGCTGATAAGTGAATAAAGAGGCAATAAGAGTAAGGTAGGGGTTTGCCCATTGTCCTTGGTCTGGATAAAGTTTGGGTCTAAGACAATGTGACATGCAGTTTGCCTTTGACAGCTTCATAAATATAGAATGCAGGCTATTAGGTACCCATTGTGAACATAATTCTATTTTCTAGAGTCTAGGTACCTAAGTTCTTTTGTACTCTGTAGCTTAAACTATCCTGTTGCTGTGGACGCCTTAGTAATAACCAGTAAACCACCACCTGAATGATAATTCCATAGCGATGTAAACACACAAATAAAAATTAGTTCTAGTGCACACATTCTCTTCCTGCCCATCTTGATTCGCACCTATTCCACCATTCACCTTGTCCTCTAAAACTCCCTTTCTTCACCTTCCACTTTTTTGTCAAACCTCCGCAGGCAGGACCAGCTTTCACCTCCTTAGAGTCGGCAATCACTGAGGCCATTCTTTGCATTTCGATCGTCACCTAGACGTAAGTCTCACTAACATGAAGAGACAGCAATCTTTCCAGGGCGGGGTGCCCAAAAGACCCTGCCTGGGCCAACAATTTGCAATCCAACCTCAAGGAAACCAACCTCACGCTGGCCAGTGGTCATCTAACAACACTCACCTCCAGAGTTATGCCCCTGAGCAACTCACACCACAGCCCTACTACTATAACAATAGCTATAGCTATAACTATAACAATTACAACAACAACAACAACAACATCACCGGCCTCCCCTCGAACAACACATTAAACGGCTATGGTTCTCAGATGGATTTCAACAGGGTACAATCCCCCCTCACACAGCTGGCTCCTCAAAAGCTTGCTCCTCAGCAGCTCGCTCTTCAACAGCTCGTTCCTCAACAGCTCGCTCCGGCACAACTGGCTCCGGCACAACTGGCTCCGCCACCAAGCCTCCCACCACACTTCACGGGCTTCAATACAAGCTCAGATATGACATTTAAGGGCGACTCTATCAACGGAAATGTCTTCCCCAGCCACACTGTAGGCCTATCGAACTACCCATTACACATAAACAACACAACCCAGGGCCAGAAGAATGCGAGCGTGTCTTATCCCGTTTCCAAGCCGTTGGACCAAATTGATACCTACCAGCGGTTTGGCGAACCACAACCATCTCAACATGTTACGAAGACAACAAGAATGCATTTTCCCATCAACACCACTGGCCCACAGATTGAATGGAATATACCCAGCCAGGCACCATTTCAACTTCCGGAAAGCTACGGGACAAGGCCGTGTGCACCATCTCTTGCACGGAAACGTTCCAACGTCAAGTCGGTAGATACGTTCGGACTGGACATGGTCAAGATAGGACAAGCAAGATCTAGGAAGTCGTCGAAATCCAGTGTCGTCGAAATCAAAAATCCGTCGACCCCAAGCCCCGCCACGGAGAAGCCGTCCAACCCTATCCCCGAGATCCAGATGCTGTCAGACCCTATTAGTTCCAGAAATGGGGAACAACCACCTCTTATCTTCCTAGATGTAAGTATCGAACTGCTGATATTAGCATGTCCACCATCCTGCCCCAGCATCTGGCGGTACAGCAAGAAACATAAAGGTACAAGACTAACAAGTCCCAGACCGAACTCAACAGCCTATCGCCCGACGATAGTCTAGAGATAGGGTTTGATACGATCAAAGCATACCTAGCACTCGAAGAGCAGAGCGAAGCAGAAGAGGCACGACAAAAGAAAGTACGAGAGGAGGAAGAAGAGGCAAAGCGCCTTGCCCTTGCCCAAGCCGCAGAGTGGGTTGGTAGCCCATCCGAGTATCCTGCAGAGTGCTACGAAAACCTGCGGCTGCCGGGGTGCGAGTTTCGCGCCCACTCAATCTGTGTCGGCTTGCCGGGCCGGGAATGGTTCATGAAACAAGGCGGGGGAAAAATCAAAGGGCCACTGGTTGTCTATGCGGTCGGCCGACAGGACAGTGACGGGGTCGAGTTTAAGCTTGTCAAGTCGGGTTGTTCTGTCGAGGAGGTCATGCGGGGCCCTGAAATCCAGTTCAGCGACGTCCAGCTGAATGCCAACTTCTCTGACATGACCGAGAGCCAGGTCACGCGGTGGTCGCGGTATCTCCTGGCGGCTGTTCCTGGAGTGCACGATACCATGACCAAGTGGACTGTATGAGGAGGGCTCCCTTGCTGTGTAGAGCTTGGAATACAGGATGAGACAGCAAGCACTACACCTTCGATGTCGTTTCGATGTTGAACATAAGAGGAGAGGGGAGTATGTTGGAGGGGCAGGATTAACTGCATGATTGAGGAACTTGGGAAAAGGCATCCGTGTTGCCAAGGGAACATGATTGATGAGGTTCTGGGGTTTTCACGTATGATGAGATTGGAGGGCGTCAGAGCCACGACGTTACGATATATGGGTTGCAGAGACTCATGAGGAAGATTGGTACACGTTGTCACGATTTACGGACCGCACGATATCGTCGGAGCATTAGGGAATTTAGGCGATGATCGCCTTGCTAGATAGAGTTGATATCTAGCAACACGAGCAGCTCTGTCTTGGGGGCTGTGAGCGATGTGTCCATAGTGAATACAATAGGACTGATGGACAATAAGTCTTTCTTTATGTTCATTTCATCGCGTGAATCTCTTGCTATATATTGCTGAAATTTCTTTTAGGACGTTGCTCATATGGATCAATGGCCTAGGTAGTGACTAAACTCAGTACAATGGACAATTGTTCGGGCCCTCTTCAAGCCCACCCTACTATAACGGCTTCTTCATCTTGTACTATTCTACAAGTGGCCTCAGCTCCTCTATTTCAAAAATACCTACTACAACTGGAAATGAGCTCACAAAAGCGATCTCACCTGTCTCTGAAGCCAACTAACTTGTCCTTATGAGTAGATCTCCATACCCTGCTCTCGCGCATCCAAGAATCCTGTGTTCATGGGCTAATGCAGAACTCTTGCTGAAGCCCCCCGATATCAATTCTTTGTGCCGCGGAGGTCATAAGTAGCTGCTAGAAGCTGAACTAAAACATGACAGGACAGGGGTAGAAA